GGGTGTTGTGGTGCTCTGTCTCACAGTGTTGAGTATATGTGGCGCGTCTGAGTCAATCACCAGGGAGCCGGTCGGCTGAGCGGACAGCACGCTGGACTTGTGATCCTGTGGTTCTGGGTTCGATCCCAGGCGCCGGCGAGAAACAATGGCCAGAGTTTCTTTCACCCTATGCCCCTGTTACTTAGCAGTAAAATAGGTACCCGGGTGTTAGTCAGCTGTCACGGGCTGCTTCCTGGGGGTGGAGGCCTGGTCGAGGACCGGGCCGCGGGGACACTAAAGCCCCGAAATCATCTCAAGATAACCTCAAGATACTCACTATGTAGGGACAGACATAATTAAGGTGGAAGCTTAAACAGCCTCGTTATCAAACTTTTTTTTCAATGCATATTTCAGGTGATGGATGAGTGCTCATCCACACGGAGGATTAAAGTGGGTGTCAACATGTGAAGCCTTACCCCCCCCACTTTCAGGTGATGGATGAGTGCTCATCCACACGGAGGATTAAAATGGTTGTCAACATGTGAAGCCTTCCCCCCCCCCCCACCTCTGGGTTTGTTAAGCCTAGCTAGATATTAGAATTCTGGGGCATGAAGCTTGTGGCCCGCGGTTACCCGCTAAGTCAGCCGCACCTTGAGTTCACCTAACACTGAATATAAAAGCTACTGGGTGTGTGTGTGTATTATATATATATATTATATATATATATATATTATATATATATATATATATATATATATATATATATATATATATGCGAACAAGCCTGAATGGTCCCCAGGACATATGCAACTGATATATATATATATATATATATATATATATATATATATATATATATATATATATATATATATATATATATATATATATATATATATTACTTTTTATTACAGCAAATGTGTTTGAGAGCCCTGTACCAGATCTAATTCCAGAGAGAATGAGAGCCCTTTGAGGGAGAGGAGGGAATAGAACGCAAGGGAGAGGGAATAGTAGTGAAGGGAGAGGGAGGACACGAGAGGAAGGGAGAGGGAGGACACGAGAGGGAGAGGGAGGACACGAGAGGGAGAGGGAGGACACGAGAGGAAGAGGTAGTGTTATTAAGGTGAGTGGTGAAGTATGGGAGTGCTGATAAGGGTCGGTGAGTGGGCATTGTGGGTAACGTGTGAGGTGAGGCTGGGTGACCAGTGAGGCTGGGTCACCCTTATGGTGAAGCATGATATCCCGGTTACCAAGAGGCAACAGTTTACATGTATATTGCGACGGGTCGGTGGCGGAAGATGGCAGGACCGGGTGTGGTGTCCTAATAAGGGATTATACGGAGTTTGGGACTGTGGACAGGATAATTGAACTCCGGCTTAGTAATTATATATCATCCACACAATCTGAACTGCAGGCCATTCTGGCGTGTTTGGAGGAAGTACGTCATGACGACAAAAATGTTTTTGTATTTGTCGATAGCCGAGGAGCACTGGAGTCCTTAAACAGTCGAAACCCAGTCTTCATGTCTATAGTTGAGGACTGTAAGAGAAGAATAACTGAGATACAGCTGAAAGGTTATAGTGTGAAATTCATGTGGATTCCGTCTCATGTTGGAATAGTGCTCAACGAGGTGGCGGATGACTTGGCCAAACGTGCCACATCAAAACCACAAGTTGACATTGAATGTGAATTCACAATGAGACAAATAAGAAGCAAAATCAGAAATATTCAGGCACAGGCAGGAGTGGAGAGGAGAGAGATAATGTATGAGAGAAGTCAAACCATGCAACACTACATGTATGTGAGTCAAAACACCCATTTCACTTATGGTAAAAGGAGAAATGCTTGGAGTGACTCTGTGTACATGCGGCTCAGGCTTGGGTACAAATATTACTGGGAATATGGGATAGGCGTTCATGATAATGACACGAAGTGTAAACTATGTGGTATGTTAAGGTCTCACACCCTTGCCCATTATGTTCTTGATTGTCCGTTGATTAATGTATATAGAAACACTGAGATAAGGACTGTTCCTGAACAAATAGCCTGGATGTGTCACAACGGAAAGGTTGATGATATTCTTGAGAGATATAAGAATTTTGCACCAAGATTGTAATATTTTGTTGAATTATCTGCAGGTGTCTTGCAAATTGTCTATACAGTATACCTAGGTCATAAAAGTATTTGTGTGTACGTCTGATAACATACTACTTGTGAAGGAGGAAATGTATATGTTTACCTCTCAGAATGTTTGGTAATATGTTTATTTGTTATGTGTGTCTATGTATGTATTAACACGTTGTACTGAACGGGGTGAGAATAGCTTGAGCTACCTCATCCCTTTGTGTGTATTTTACCTCAATAAACTTATTTCAATTTCAATTTCAACCCTTATGGTCAACAATGGTCAGGGTGAAACATGAGGCTGTTAGAGCCCTCCCCATAACCCCATCTACACAATGCTCGCCCCTCCACAACCCCACCACAACCCCACCACCACCATGAGTCAGTTGACCATCTCTGTTGCTATCATTCCACGCTATCTATTAATAAATGTCAATGTTGCATTGTCTGTCAGTATTGTAGCCCCTTTGGCTTCCGGTCATTAGTCACAGCTCCTCAAACAGTCCTTGGATTAGGCGTTTAGGTCTGTGTGACAGCTTGTTGGAAGGCTGTCTGTACGTTTTTTCTGCTGCCCTCACTATGGCATTGTTGCTGCCCTCACTAAGGCACTGTTGCTGCCCTCTCAGCGGCAGGCCGCCTGCCTGCCTGCCAACAGTGACTCACTCCACCACAACCTTGTCCCGGAGGTGCTAATTTTCTGGGTGCCGTCACTCATTCTGCGAATGAACATTATGACGGTGGTGGACAGCGTCACTCATCCTGGGAGCGCCGTAGTGAGCGCGTCACTCATCCTGTGGGGGAACGTAGCGCCACGTTACTGCGTACAACGCTGTGACTCCCTGAACTACCTGGACTGAACAACACACCACCAAACAAGGAATTAACACACCATACCATCCTATAGTGTAGGTTATCATGTGAGGTACACAGAGAAGGAACTTGTATGGTGAGTATATAATACAGCAAGTGCTTCCTACCTCATTACGGGCTATTCATGCCCGTGCCACCTCTTGGGTGGCTTCATCTTTATCAATCAATCCTACCTCAGTGTTGGGGTTATATGTTATGTGGTTGGTACACATCTTTATGATGTCTCTTAGATGGGTGCATGTCTCCTGGTTGATGGGGTTCTGGGAGGTCTTCTACTCCCCAAGCCCGGCCCGAGGCCAGGCTTGACTTGTGAGAGTTTGGTCCACCAGGCTGTTGCTTGGAGCGGCCCGCAGGCCCACATACCCACCACAGCCTGGTTGGTCCGGCACTCCTTGGTGGAAACAATCTAGTTTCCTCTTGAAGATGTCCACGGTTGTTCCGGCAATATTTCTTATGCTCGCTGGGAGGACGTTGAACAACCGCGGACCTCTGATGTTTATACAGTGTTCTCTGATTGTGCCTATGACACCTCTGCTCTTCACTGGTTCTATTCTGCATTTTCTTCCATATCGTTCACTCCAGTATGTTGTTATTTTACTGTGTAGATTTGGGACCTGGCCCTCCAGTATCTTCCAGGTGTATATTATTTGGTATCTCTCTCGTCTCCTTTCTAGTGAGTACATTTGGAGGGCTTTGAGACGATCCCAATAATTTAGGTGCTTTATCGCGTCTATGCGTGCCGTATATGTTCTCTGTATTCCCTCTATTTCAGCAATCTCTCCTGCTCTGAAGGGGGAAGTGAGTACTGAGCAGTACTCAAGACGGGACAACACAAGTGACTTGAAGAGTACAACCATTGTGATGGGATCCCTGGATTTGAAAGTTCTCGTAATCCATCCTATCATTTTTCTGGCTGACGCAATATTTGCTTGGTTATGCTCCCTAAACGTTAGGTCGTCAGACATCATTATTCCCAAATCCTTGACATGCCTCTCAACTGTCAGTCAGTCAACTGATTTTTTTCTCTCCACACACACACAAGGTACCCAGGAAGCAGCCCGTAATTCTTCAAGACTCAGAGAGAAAAAAATACCTGCTAGATGAACCCAGACCTGTCCCCTGAAGCTCATATCAAGAGGATCCGCATCCGCGGCATATGCGAGATTGGCCAACATAAGAACGGCATTTAGAAACTTGTGTAAGGAATCATTCAGAACTTTGCTATACAAACACATGTCAGACCAATCCTGGAGTATGCGGCACCAGCATGGAGTTATATCTAGTCAAGCATAAGACTAAGCTGGTAAAAGTTCATAGGTTTGCCATAAGACTAGTACCCGAACTGAGGGGTATGAGCTACGAGGAGAGACTACGGGAATTAAACCTCATGTCGCTAGAAGACAGAAGAGTTTGTGGGGACATGATCTCCACATACAAGATTCTCAAAGGAATTGATAGGGTAGATAATGCCAGGCTATTTAACACAAGGGGCACACGCATTAGGAGACAGGTGGAAACTGAGTGCCCAAATGAGCCACAGAGATATTAGAAAGAATTTTTTTAGTGTCAGAGTGGTTGACAAATGGAATGCATTAGGAAGTGATGTGGTGGAGGCTGACTCCATACACAGTTTCAAGTGTAGATATGATAGAGCCCAGTAGGCTCAGGAACCTGTACACCAGTTGATTGACGGTTGAGAGGCGGGACCTAAGAGCCAGAGCTCAACCCCCGCAAGCACAACTAGGTGAATATAATCAGGTGAATACACATACACACAAACCCATGACCTGGGACACACACACACACACACACACACACACACACACACACAGGGGAGGTGGGACAGAGGCGGGACCAAAGAGCCAGAGCTCAACCCCCGCAAACACAACTAGGTGAGTACAACTAGGTGAGTACACACACACACACACGCAACAAACATCTACACACACATGGACACACACAACAAACATCTACACACACATAGACACACACACACACACATCTACACACAAGGGTGACATAGGTACCTAGGTATGGCGTTCCTTTGGTGTAAAATATGGCAGTCTCCCGAAGGGGTCTCTGTGTCTGGAGGAGCCCCTGACGGAGGTCTCGCAGGATCTGTGGAGGAGAGACATGATCACTACATACACAACACCTCAACAACATGGGGTATAACACATGATAAAGCGACGTATTGATCACAAGTACCAGACGTAATAGTGAGAGGCGGGCCCAAAGAGCCAGAGCTCAACCCCCCCATAAGCACAACTAGGTGAGTACACACACACGGGCCTCGTGGCTGAGTGGACAGCGTTCTAGAGTCGTAGTCCAAGGGCCCGGTTCGATCCCCGGCAGAGGCACAAACAAATAGGCAGAGTTTATTGCACCCTAATGCACCTGTTCACCTAGCAGTAAATAGGTATCTAGGAGTTAAAACAGCTGCTACGGGCTGCTTCCTGGTGTATTCACCTAGTTGTATTCACCTAGTTGTGTTTACGGGGGTTGAGTTTTGCTCTTTCGGCCAGGTCTCGAAGCCTGGTGGATAGCGCGCAGGACTCGTAATTCTGTGGCGCGGGTTCGATTCCCGCACGAGGCAGAAACAAATGGGCAAAGTTTCTTTCACCCTGAATGCCCCTGTTACCTAGCAGTAAATAGGTACCTGGGAGTTAGTCAGCTGTCACGGGCTGCTTCCTGGGGGTGGAGGCCTGGTCGAGGACCGGGCCGCGGGGACACTAAAGCCCCGAAATCATTTCAAGATAACCTCAAGATATTCAAGAAGGTCAGAGGTCAGCCACCTGCAGAGTGAGTGGTTGTGCAAACATTCGTGAGAAAAAACGTTCCATCTCTTCCTTACCCCCCATAATTATTATTCCCCTCCTTGAAGAGGTGTATGGTGGTTGTCAAACAATTTAATGGGAAAATTCTTGAGTGTGCACGTGTGGGCGGACCTCTTACAAGCCTCAATGTTGGTTAGCAAGAGTAAATCTCCCCCCCCCCCCTCACCTCTTTCTCCAGCCGACAGGTGTGGTAGTTTTGGAGGCGTGTATATATATACCTCCTGTAGGGGAGTTTGGAAAGGAGGGAGTGCTGGGGTGCTGGAGGGGGAGAGGTAGTGTGGGCCACAAGTCATCAGGCTGGCCACCAGGGGGCCAGATTCACGAAGCAGTTACGCAAGCACTTACGAACCTGTACATCTTTCCTCAATCTTTGGCGGCTTTGTTTACAATTATTAAACAGTTAATGAGCTCCGAAGCACCAGGAGGCTGTTTATAACAATAACAACAGTTGATTGGCAAGTTTTCATGCTTGTAAACTGTTTAATAAATGTAACCAAAGCCGTCAAAGATTGAGGTTAAGATGTACACGTTCGTAAGTGCTTGCGTAACTACTTCGTAAATCTGGTCCCAGGAGACAGTGAATTCATGTATGTCGTAGAGTAGGACCCAGAAAGTAATGTATGAGGTCTTTGAGATTTTCCATGTGTGATGTCTTAACCATTGCCAGTGTGAGGGGTAGACACTTAGAATTTGGTGAATATCATATTTTGTTCTAAATAAACCCATGTTAAACTTTCCCTCTTTGCTTACGTCAATTAATGGAACCTCCTAATCCTCAGAGTTCAGTTTTGTTAACTTTTGGTCAGTCATTAATGACAGCTGGAAGAGGACTCTGGAAGCCAAGCACTGCTTCTGCCTCATTGTTTGATATAGCTAATGGTTAGGCAGGATGGTGGCAGTGAAGTTAATTAGATTGATCCCTGTGTAGCATTTCCTTGAAAGGGTACCATTGGTAACCATCAGTGGTACACCATATTTCAATTCATATTACATTAAATATAAATTACTAATTATTAATGTGTTACAAAGTTCAAGGTGTCGGAAGTGTTGCTCAGTACTATCAAGGATCAGTAACTTACCCTTACCATATAATGCTTACCGTTACATAGACATAATAGAGGAAAATTAAATTAGTTAAAAAGGCGGGGGTCCAAGAGCTAAACACGGACCAGAGAGCATCATGGAACACAGTTGCATTGAGAGGTGAGGTAATGGCAGCAGTGGCGACAACCCTCCCCCACACATGTGAGGTAATGGCAGCAGTGGCGACAACCCTCCCCCACACATGTGAGGTAATGGCAGCAGTGGCGACAACCCTCCCCCACACATGTGAGGTAATGGCAGCAGTGGCGACAACCCTCCCCCACACATGTGAGGTAATGGCAGCAGTGGCGACAACCCTCCCCCACACATGCCAGCCCACTCCTCTCCACCAGAGATACTGAAGAACCAGCAAGACTTTGACATATACGTGAATATTATGCCATAAAGGAAGCCAGTCTGGCAGCCCCGCGGTCACTCACATGTATCTTAGTCAACTGAGATGACCTGTTCAGGGGAGCCATCAGGAGGTACAAGTCTGGCATTCAGAGCGGGAAAACTACGAAGAGACGAGAGAACGTCCATTAGGAATACAATGGGTCTCGCAGGAAGTTCTCATAAAGTTTCAAATTTTTATGCAAAATGTTAATTGAAAGTTTCCTCTCCTAACCTCTCCGAGTAGGCCGGATGACTCAAACAGAAAACAGGACAGTACGTCACTATTGTAAGTCGATTTCATTTCTAATTGCGTCCACTTTTGGCCATAGCGCGCATACGAGCCAAAAGTGTCGTTATTTTTAAGAGGACGGGTTGGGGGAGAGAGGGAACGTTGAGGGGGAGACTATAGAAGAGACAGAGCCCTCACCCCATAAGTAGCGGGAAGGACTCAACAACTTGGTCGACGCCCCAAGACAGTAACGAGAGGCAGAGAATTAATGCACCTTTGCCCCAGGGATGTGAGGAAGCAAGACTATTAAGGACAGGGCATGGTACCCAGCAGGGTAGGTTAGGTTGACCAGACAACACACTAGAAGGTGAAGGGACGACGACGTTGTCCTCACATAATCGACTTGAGAATGGTCCAGGACGGACCGAAACGTCGTCGTCCCTTTACCTTCTAGTGTGTGGTCTGGTCAACATACTTCAGCCACGTTATTGTGACTCATCGCCTGAATATCATTATCTTCCAATATTCCTGAGTGTATGAAGTAATCACAGAGCTCAAAGTACCTCATACCATTTGGTCTGAAGACACTTATAACACATATATTGTCCACAGGGAGCCGGTCGGCCGAGCGGACAGCACGCTGGACTTGTGATCCTGTGGTCCTGGGTTCGATCCCAGGCGACTGCGAGAAACAATGGGCAGAGTTTCTTTCACCCTATGCCCCTGTTACCTAGCAGTAAAATAGGTACCTGGGTGTTAGTCAGCTGTCACGGGCTGCTTCCTGGGGGTGGAGGCCTGATCGAGGACCGGGCCGCGGGGACACTAAAGCCCCGAAATCATCTCAAGATAACCACAGATAAATATCTGCAGCCAATCACAGATATAGTGTTGGAGAGTATGTCCTATAGTATATCCTATATGTATGTTCACCATTGTTCACTATCATTACCTGCCATATCGATATCCCAGCCTAAGTCTGGCAATTACAATGTAACACTGTCTAGTGACTGTATTGATTTGGTCGCTAGGAGATGATATAGAGTTATGTGCAAGCTACTTATTACAAATAATATTACGCCATGTCTGTTCTGCAATTAGCAGTCCCCTTGGTGTAGTGGTAAGACATTCGCCTGGTGTTTTGCGAGTGCTTTGGCCTGGGTTCGTATCCTGGCCGGGGAGGATTAACTGGGCGGCAAGCCTTAATTGTAGCCTCTGTTTACCCAACAGTAAAATGGGTGCTTGGTAGTATAATATTATATATATATATATATATATATATATATATATATATATATATATATATATATATATACACAGTTCGATATATATACTATACGGCATGGATTCGAATCCTGGACGGGTCAAAGCGTTCTTAGTGAGATATATATATATATATGAATGAAAACTCACACCCCAGAAGTGACTCGAACCCATACTCCCAGAAGCAACGCAACTGGTAACTACAGGGCGCCTTAATCCGCTTGACCATCACGGCCGTCAAAAGGAAGTGATAGCCGAGGCTATTTGAGCCACTTCCCCGACGGCAACTCGGATGGTAATCTTGGGCATAGCATTTCACCAAATCACCTCATTCTTTGGGGCACACGTGAGGAACACAAATGCAAACAAGCCTGAATGGTCCCCAGGACTATATGCGAATGAAAACTCACACCCCAGAAGTGACTCGAACCCATACTCCCAGAAGCAACGCAACTGGTAACTACAGGCGCCTTAATCCGCTTGACCATCACGGCCGTCAAAAGGAAGTGATAGCCGAGGCTATTTGAGCCACTTCCCCGACGGCAACTCGGATGGTAATCTTGGGCATAGCATTTCACCAAATCACCTCATTCTTTGGGGCACACGTGAGGAACACAAATGCGAACAAGCCTGAATGGTCCCCAGGACTATATGCGAATGAAAACTCACACACGTGATGGCCAAGCGGATTAAGGCGCCCTGTAGTTACCAGTTGCGTTGCTTCTGGGAGTATGGGTTCGAGTCACTTCTGGGGTGTGAGTTTTCATTCGCATATAGTCCTGGGGACCATTCAGGCTTGTTCGCATTTGTGTTCCTCACGTGTGCCCCAAAGAATGAGGTGATTTGGTGAAATGCTATGCCCAAGATTACCATCCGAGTTGCCGTCGGGGAAGTGGCTCAAATAGCCTCGGCTATCACTTCCTTTTGACGGCCGTGATGGTCAAGCGGATTAAGGCGCCCTGTAGTTACCAGTTGCGTTGCTTCTGGGAGTATGGGTTCGAGTCACTTCTGGGGTGTGAGTTTTCATTCGCATATAGTCCTGGGGACCATTCAGGCTTGTTCGCATATATATATATATATGTCGTACCTAGTAGCCAGAACGCACTTCTCAGCCTACTATGTAAGGCCCGATTTGCCTAATAAGCCAAGTTTTCCTGAATTAATATATGTTCTCTAATTTTTTTCTTATGAAATGATAAAACTACCCAATTCATTATGTATGGGGTCAATTTTTTTAATTGGAGTTAAAATTAACGTAGATATATGACCGAACCTAACCAACCCTACCTAACCTAACCTAACCTATCTTTATA